GGTGCCCAGCTGTCGCCCGATGCCCTGGGGAAGCGGCCGTGGAGAATCTTCAAAAGTGTTACGTACCGATTCGCTAAGGAACGCTCTCGATTTGGTTTGAAGGGACGACTCGAGGGAGATGGAAGGGTTATCGGCTATAAGGATCTCGACCAATCAGATGATCAGAATGATTAGTTCTCAAATTTGGCTATTTTGGCAAAGCAGTCTGTCTCGGGGCACCGACCGAGGTGTCACGAACTGCCTCGCGCTCCCGTGCTGTCTGTTTATAGTTTTTCTAGCTTTGTTTCGATACGGTATAGAAAGTTCTCGTTCGTGTAGTTCTCTCGTTGCTCTCGCGATATCCAGGAAGTTCTATGGATTTTCTGTGAGTGTTCTGGAAGTGCTGTGCCCTAGTGCAGTGCCCACCTGAGTGTCCTCTGGATACGGTTCTCGGTCTTCACGGATTAGCTGCACCAGCTTCGGTGAGTCTCCCAATTCATTAATTGGTGTAGGAATCTCGATTTGATAATTCAAATTCGTTCTGTTACATTTTCCATTCGTTGCTCTTTGTCTCTCGCACTATTTGCTTGACTCTTACTCCGACCCTCTCTAGCTTAACCTAGTAGCCTAAGCGGCCGTGCATTCCCGTAACCGTCCGCTCCCGTTCGTGCATCCAGTTGCGTTTGCTGATTTTACGCGTTCCCAAAAATCGACAGGATCCGTTAAGTTATCGCATTTTCTGATAGGTTCCGTCAGATCTCTTGTTTCGGCGGAGTTGGGCCTGTTCCACCCCAACTCCCAGGTCATGCCGGCTCCTCAGTTACCGGTGAAAAAAGAACTGGCTGGCGCCCGCCTGACTTGCTGCTGCCTGAGCGAAGAGTGGACGGCCGAAGTTAACGTAGGTTGGTTCGCGAAGATCGTTCTCGGATTTTTCGCTATCGATGTCGAGTTAAGAAAGATACGTTACAGGAGATACAGGAGGATATTCAAAATTCGTACAGGACAGAAAATTTGGTAGAAATTTTAACTTTGACTTTAATGAAAATTATTGTTTGCAATTTTTCACATGCTATTTTTATTAAGCATGGTTACTGAACGTGACCCTGAAATTTGATATAAATAAAGGAATTAGTAACTTTCCCTGGAATTGATCTGCCTGCAGTTAGGAGGGCTGCACTATTGTCATGGCGACAAAGTAACGGTGTTATTTATACCAACAAGAACAGGCGAAACTCTCAAGTCTTCAGAGTCTTATGGGGATTTGGGTTAAACGGGGCTAGAGAGGATGGCGGATTCAATTCTGAGCAGATCAATTCACAATGCACGCGACAAGGCAAGTTTTTGGTTGAATATGGATAAAGAAGAATTGAAGGGATTTTCACGTTTATTGAATCGGCATTGGCAAGATTGCGGAAAGGGAAATGAGCCAATTGGTAGTCGGCTATTATTTAATTGACCGTCATCGCGTAATGAATTTTCTATTGATTTTTAATTAGGAGGAGAAACGTGAACAGGAACGGCGAAGGAATCTACTTTATCTTATCGTGGATTTTTTGAAGGAGCAAAGGTATCCTTTTTCTTTGTTCATTTATTTTTCACGTCTCTGAAATTGTCAATGATTTCGATGCACAGTGTCAGAGCTTTTCAATTATTCATTTTTGCCGATTATTTATCTAGATTATTTATCTCCTGTTACGAGTAAATAAGGAAACTTACGCGTGCGACTCGTGCGATATCGTATTTGCTGGGAGGTTTGTAAATATTTGTTTCAGATTTACCGAGTGCGCCGATGCGCTTGCAAAAGAGGCTCATCTCTCTAAGGATGTTAAGCTCTGCGACAATATAGATCTAGATATCGTTCTTTTGGAGTACAGCGATTATTATTACGCAAAATATCAGAGATATCCAAAAATTTGCAAAAAAGTTGAATCCGCCGTGGAGAGTAACTTTGTACATAATCAGTGAGTTTTCTAGATTCATTATAATATTTTTCATTATATTATAATTTGCGTTTGTCGGTTCTCAGACCGAAGAAGGAAAGAACCGTCAAAAATTCAGGAAGACTGGATGGGCAATCGAGCGATGATAAATTTGGAAAATCAAAATCATCGACAAGTGAAAATAATACTGGCAGCGAGATCGAGCCGATTTTTGCACCGATCGTTACTCCAATTTTTCAAAGACCCAAAAACCAGGTGGGCGACGTAAGACTGGGAAATAATGTTGAATCTTTGGAGAACGAACGAATCCTTAAGCCTCTTCAGGGTCTCTACGAAAGCGGCACGGAATGGCGAGAAATTGCTGAGATGATTGCGAAGGTGATACATATATTTTATCTCTACACTTGATTCACGTTTAACCTCAAGGAAATCTCAACGAGTCCCTTTTTCACTTCTTAGGAAATTGTACAAACAAACTTGAACGTAAAGTGGGAAGACATATATGGCCTTGAGGAGTGCAAAGAAACTTTGAAGCAGGCTACAGTCTTTCCCATTAAATATCCAGAAGTATTCAGCGGTAAATTTTCGCCCTGGCAAGGAATACTTTTGTACGGTCCATCGGGAACAGGTACGACCTCCATATAAAATTATCCATTGCATGGCACAAGCCCATCGCCCTCTATAATGAAAAGTATCAGATTGATAAAAATAATTATTAGGAAAAACGATGCTGGCCAAAGCTGTAGCCACTGAATGTAATATGACATTCTTCAACATCACCTCAAGTTCCATAGTGAGTAAATGGAGGGGTGATTCTGAAAAATACGTAAGGGTGAGTAAAATATGTCATAGAAAGAGGGAGTAGAAAAGTTAAAATGTATTTGTAGAAATATACCAAAGGTCAAGTCTCAGTCAGAGAAGACAGCTGTCGAGGCACTTGGCGTTGTTCTAATTCGAATAGAATAATTGATTGATTAATAGAAAATTTCCAGGTACTCTGTGACTTGGCCAAGTACCATGCACCCTCGGTCATATTTGTTGACGAGATTGATTGGACGGTCACGAAGAACAGTGGAAGCTCTTCGACTTTGTCAGAACCAGCCAGGAGGTTCAGGGCTGAACTTCTGGCACGACTTGATGGTTTACTTTCAAATGAGAAATCGCGCATTCTTTTTCTGGCTGCGACAAACATGCCATGGGACTTGGATGTTGCTTTGCTAAGACGTTTGGAAAAAAGAATTCTTGTGAACGTACCGGACTCGAGTATACGTGAGGCAATTCTTGTGCATTACGTATCTGACGTTGTTCGGGCCCAGCATCAATTTAGTCAGTTGATCATTCATACCGATGGATATTCTTGCGCTGATTTGAAACTTCTGTGCAAGGAAGCATGGATGAGACAGGTTAAAAAGCTTTTTTATGAGCTCCAAAATAATCCATCCTTTTCTGTGGATTTAAAGTCAAAGCAGACAGACACTATACATTCGATGAAATATTTAATGGATGCATTGGCAATTGTGAAACCTATTGCGAAAGACGTCGTAGAAAAATACGAGGCATGGAATAAGGTTCATACGGAGGATAACCTTAAAAAAAAGATTTGAGAATTACGACTAACATTGGACTTGGTTTCGTTTGAGTTTCGGGTTTCTCACTGGATATGAAATTTATGAACCATAAATTTTCAAGACTGGGATGATTAAAATTAAAAAGAAATATGTATTGATAGAGCTCTCATACTTTCATGACTGCAAGTACTGCAAAGTGTCATTAATAAATTTTCTTTTTTATTTCTCCTTTATCATACAAACCAAGTAAAAAGACAATGCAATCAAGTGTAAATCGTTTCGATTGCACTTGTGTTAATCCAATATAGCGTATTATATATGTCGGACATGAAAACTGACAATATATTCAGCATTGGTGCGCTGAACAGAAATAGCGAAAGGATCTGTCGGATGAAAGGTAAAGGCAACGAGTCTTCTCGCCACCACAGGAGTAGTTCTGCCCAGCATTCCCGCATACATACGAAACTTTAGTAATCCTGAATCCCTGGCATAGAATCTAAACAGAAGAACAAAGAGAAAAACTACGTAAGAACAATAGTTTACCAATAAATTGTATCAATTTCAAAATCATACCTTATAGGATGCTCGCCGCAAGCTTTTGGCCGTTCCATCATCGATACCCATTTGTCATCATAGCAAAACAATGATAAATCCAAATATGGGGAACTTGAATAGGATTGTGCACATATTGGCAATTGCGCTAGCAATCTTTTAGTTGCTTCCGTAAGACCACCATAACGAGCACTGACTATTGTCTGTTTAAATCTCTGTTGCATCAATCTGAAGCAATGATTAACAGTACTTGGGATATTCGTTATTTATAACGGATATTCATAAAAAATAAAGTAAGCAACTGCGGGGCATACCTAGCGTAAATGTTGTTTGACGGAGAACACATGTATTGGCAGTCCGTGCTCATGCGAGCATTGCGAAAAAAATCGCTGAAATTTTCAAACTGCGTTAATAATTGCGTCGACGCGTTATCATACGCAGCAAGAACTTTTGCAGTCACCATATCATAAACTACTAGAAGTGCTGGTTGAGCATTTGGTTCGTTTGCTTGTAAGGTTGCTACTTCCTCACTGGCATATCTCACCAGTATGTGATTTGTATCCAGCAACTGCATTTTCCACATACGTAAAGCGTTTAGCTAAAAATTTATTCGTTTCGTGAAATGTCTCTAAAAAAATGCCTAGCATTTGTATTTCCTTACCTGATCGAAGTACTGGTAAAATCGGCGTAGTTCGTAAGGGTCCCGCGTTGTATCGCTTATATATTCGGCTCTTCTGTACAGGTATACCAATAATTTATGTTTAAGACTATTTATCGTCGCGTCTCTGAATGGACGACAATTTACACCAGGCCAGGCACTCGTAACTAGGTATGCGTCGTCCTCTAAGCAAAATCTTCCAATTGTTCGGACGTTTATGAACATTCCGTCCAATATTTGGAATATGTGTATGGTCTGGTGCTGTACGGAGAGTACTGCTAGGATATCTTTGTACAAGTAGAGACCTATGGAAAAATATGAAAATGTTGTATGCGAAAGATTGTTCAGAAAGGTTTGAGTTACTCCTGTTAATGCTATTTTGTAACTCACCTTGATTGTGGGACAAATATATTTTGTCTACTTTGAAATGTCTTGTATCACATAATTTTCCACCTCGCAGATCAACCAGGTGAAGACTGTAGTCTTCCAGTGGCGATCTTGGATTTGGAGTTAGCGCCTCATTGTTTGAATAAATCTATCGGATTAAATTGGTTGTTAAGCTGTGAATGACTTACACCTTGTACATTATTTTAGCTGTACCTGATAAAAATGAGGTCTAAGCTCGTCAGGAATATGTGCTGCTGAACCGACAATTACATATCTGCCATCGTCAGTAAATAAACTACATTCTCTGTTTAGTTGTTCGTTGCTTTGTACAACATTGACTATCCATTTCACCTAGATATAAAATAGTTTAGAAATATATGATAGTCTAAAAATAGTTGACTAATTTATGATCTTGTGAATACCTTGAAAAACTTGGTAAATATGTTACTTCTTATTTGAAAAGTACGCTCATCATTTTTATGACCGACATATTCCCCCTTGCATTCTGCTAGCAAATCAGCAGCTGCTGATGCTCCTCGATATTCGTAAACCTCAATGGAAGTCTGATCTGCACTAAAGGCCACCAGGTATCTTCCATCTGGACTGAACTTCCTGAGGAAGCATGGTGGTTTCTCCACATTGACAACAGTGAAATTTGGGAAGACATTCTGATAGAATTGTCGGGCTATCAGGACTTGTGTTCCTGGATAAAGACAACCTATCGTCTCTCTTCTTCTGAGACGCACAACAATATTTTGTGGTCCGATTTTACGGGGTTTTATTGGACAAGGATCTGTCACGAATTCAACCCTACCTTCATCCTCGGCCATTCTCCAATATCCAAAAAATTGTGCATACCAAGATTATCGAGTCCAGGACACTTGAATAGCTTATATAGCATATGCATATACACAGCTTAAATTTCTCAGACACCAAATACTTTGAAGTATTCAACGCAAAAGATAAATAATATAACAATTTGTTGTTTTACAGAGGATGAGCATTGAAATGTTCTATTATAAACATAACCTCAAACATCAATGAAAACTAAAAACATTTTACAGTCTTGCCTAAAAACTGCTGCATATGCTAATACTATTATTATTAATTATACAAATGAATTACATCAGCTGAAGTAGCTATTAATAAAGATTTCGCGTAAATTTCAATAATTCTTGTTGAAATATTTAAGTCACTTAAATTCACGGAACTTTTATTAGCAGAAATAAATGTTATCAAGCACATGAGAAACGTTAAACATTGTTTGGGCAAGATCGTTGAAATTTCAATGACAAATTAATAATTATGTTACACATTACTAAATACACTTGGTGTAAAAATATATAATCGCAACATTCGTCACAGCTGATTGCGCTATGTGCTATATCGACAAGATCATATCCTTGTAGATCGCAAAATAAAAATAAAAGGTTGTATCATAAATTACAAATAAAAACTTCAGAAATGTTTAAACGTATAACTAAAGAAATAAAAATTGTAAATAAAATCATTTGGAAGGAAACTTAAATGTAGTGAAATTCTACAGAGTTATATCAACGGAATAGAAGTGTAATAGAAGTTTATAAAATAATGTAATAAAGTAACTTAATAAGTTGATACACTTTTTACGGAATAAATATATATGATCTTTATTGTACATTCCTAATTTATACATTAATCGGCTATAAAGCGGAATTGCTATTAACAATATATTTTGTATTATTAATAAACAGGCGAATCGTTTCGCATATTTAAATTAACGGTTCGGATGCGCGCGATATACTTTTGAAAACGCCGTTAGGACCAAATGCCGTTGTGACATCAGAACGGATCCATAAGACATTGTTTGCCTGGCGTCTCAATCCATTGTTGCACATTAATCAAAATATATTTCTTTCTCATCAGATTTATATATTGATACATAAACTTGGTGTGCTTTCCTGTGATTTCATTTCTTTTGTCGTTTGTACTCATTTCTTTTATCGTCACATTCGCGAGTGCCGAAGATCAAGCGGAAATGAATAATTTTCACCGCTATGCAATTTTATTCTCAGGATCATCACAGTTACTACTTATTTCCGAAAATTATGTAAGTTTTAACAACATTTATGAACTATTTTTCTTATGATTATCCAATTTTGTATCTTCATTGCTTCGTCAGCAGTTTTATTCGCTTAATAATTAAGTTGCCGTCAATGGCATCGACTAATCCTGACATTCTTTTGTATTTTTTCTCGTATAACTTGAATAACATTGTGAGTGTTGGAGCTTTGCATAAATTTATGCGAATGAAAACAGAACTGCCTGCTATAATTTGCTACATTTTATTTTCTTTTACTGTTACAAACAGGCAGCAAAGAAAGATCTAATCTTTGGATTATTCGAGGTGTCTTGCAGTGTGAACATTAAATTAATTTATTAATTATAAGAAAAACAAAACATACATATCACATATTACTATATTAACATTGTCTCTTTTATTCGGCTTTATCGGCAGGCATAATTTAAAATTAAGTTATGTAATTATTTTACATGTGCCATTTAACAAGCCGTGACAAGTTACTTGTTTCTTCCATATTAATTTTTTTCTCTTAGAATTTCTAAAGCACAAGGGAACTTCAACTAAATGATTTATCATTTGTACAAAGAATTAATTATGGTACTAGATGATGTATGATTGGTAGTTAACTAATATGTCTTTCTCTCATAAATATTCCTAGTCTTTTAAAGATTATGCTGTACAATTATTCCAATTGGCAAAGATATAACAACCTCACAATGATTCTTGAAATATAAGAATGAATGGCAAAAGATACATTTAAGAAACTGTATATCTTGTACTTGTAGAACAGAATTTATTCCATCAATGGTATAATGTTATATTAGCAGGAAACTATAGAATAGATTATGTGCTACTGGTCACACTAAATGAATAGTGACTGCAATCATGTTGGGACTATACATGTATTTCCATTTATCTGGTTTAATAGAAAATGATCCTCTGCTGGCAAAATAAAGAATAATTTGAGCATCCTATATGATAAACCGATCAATCATCACCCATCTAATCCATTGTCGCAATCCTGAAAAGGCTTATACATTTTGCCTAAACCGACCAATTACGCGTAGTCACATTTGTAGAAGTCCTATAGATGTGGGCTTCCCAAATTCTCTTTTTAGAACCAATAAAAACAAATTTTTTGTTGCAAAATCAAACAAAAGATTATTATCTTTTCTCACTTTTGGACTGAATAAGCGATACGCGGTACAGGAATATATGTCCACTATGCCGATGAACTTTAACCGGAAATCACTTGAATGACAAACGGAAATCCTTAAAATCTCACAGAAAATATATAAGTGTCGTGTGCTAATAGTTACGTTAGATTAGAAGGGCGAGACGGTGAATTAATTGGGCATTAAAATTTTATATATCATGACGATTTCCAGTACTAGAACCATCTGAAGTCGGTGAAGCGGATGGTGTAGTATCATTTGACTCGTCTGCTACTCTGTTATCAGAAGCAACGAAAGACAAAAAATAAGATCTCATCGATTCAGAAAATTATTTGAATAGGAAAAAAAAGTGATTTCTTGTACCAGTTAGGAAATACCTGAATAGTGCAGCTAAACTTGGGCCGATTGTGTCCTCAACTGTTTCTTGGGCATCGTGTTCACCCAGAATTTGTCGACAAATCGGACACGTTCCATGCTGGAATTGAAACGAAACATATTATTTTCTTTACAATTATTATAAATTATACATATTAAAATATCTTACCAATTCTAACCAAGGTACGATACACGGTGCATGATAGACATGAAGGCAGCGAAGTTGTCGTACTGGTTCAGATACAATGAAATCCTCCCAGCAGATGGAACACTGAAGTTTGTTATCTGTCGAAAATGATAGGTATTATCATATTTGCTTTTTCAAATACTTTAATAATGAAAGAGAAGAATTACTTACCAACTTGATCTTGTGAGATAGCAGTTGTTGGTATCTCATCGATCAATGTACGGGATAAAGGTGGTGGTCCAGTTGTATCCATTTGATTGAGTAACTGTGTGACAATGGTGTCCAATCCATTTCGGCCAAATGTATACTCGGCCGGGTTTGATAAAAGCACTCTAATGTCAAACCTACATTATTTAATTCCATTTTATCAATTGCATTATGAGATTCAATGAATCATTAATGTTTAATGATGCTATTAAGAAAATAGTGCTGATATTATAATATTATTAAATAATATAGTGTACATACACAGGTGACTGATCTAGCCGTAAGTGTACACCAGTGAGACCGGACATAAAGTCTTCAAAAAATAGATCCATTTCTTGTCGCAGCCACCTGTGTCTTAGAGGGCGCCTACTGAAACAACAAATATGTTATTTTCGTTATCTAATCTAAAAGTGTAAATCTGATATTTTGAGTAACGAATTTCCAATTAGGAATAAGTGGCTGTAATTAAAGTACCTTGTATGAAAGTGTCTCATCCGTCTAGACCGATTGTGTGAATCATGAATTGGACCTCTTGATTCGTTGGTTCTCTGTTCCGAAGGATTTACCGGTACAAAATCAGGAGCACTGTCAGGCGGCGTTCTGCGTGTAAGAATAGCTTCGCCTTGATCCCTTCTTGGTCTAGGCGTAGCTTCGCTGTGATCCCTTCTTTGCCTAACATTTCTGGTTTCTCCTGTTTGAAATGTCCCATTATCCACATCTTGTGCCCGTGAACCCTGTGAAAAATATATTGATGTTGATTATTAGCAGCAAGCTATTATTACTTCATGGTTTTAGTATTAGCCAATCACTTACTGCATATCTCAAGGCATTAAGAAATGCCATATTGAGGTAATCCTGATCGGTAACATCCCCAGTTGGACTCCTGTCATTTTCATTAGATTCCAATTCTTCTATGAAACCGAATGTACAGAGTGGGCACGTATAGTCCTAGTATTTTATCATAAAGAAAGTTAGTGGAGCCCATGTCTTGGACACAGCAGACAAATATATTGTTCAAACGACACTTTCTGGCTGCAAGTGTTAATGTCATTAATTAATCAATGACATTTAATATGATGAAGGGAAGTTACATTAATATGCAATCAGTTGTTTCACAGACTATTCAAATTTACATCTTAAGGCCTATGACAATCTGTACAATATAGCAAATCATTTTCATTGCATCATACCATACAATTAGCATTGTACTAAACAAATTATGCTATCGGTATCAAAAGAAAAAAAACGGTATGGTGCATTTTCAAAACAAGCAATAATTATATACGTGATCAGGTATGGTGTAATTTTATTGATATTATAAAATCAAAAAAAATATATATCAACTCCAATCCGAGTGTCAGTAATTATACAGTGAACGATAAGAAATGAAATCGCCGGATGCGCAGTAGCATCTTAACCATGTTCATGACGATGGCCAGAGATATTTATCTTGAAAAATGACTTCAAACAGAAGGATTGCCTTATAAAATGTAATATCAAGGAGGGTGCTGTTTCTCGTGAGGCCGCAGTCATAAGATGCGTCACACATGGCTCGCAATGACAGCTTGAAAAATAGAATATCTTAGGACGTGTCGCATGATTCGGGAGTGTCGACGTTGATCAATGATGCCAGATAACAGTGAATTTACTTACGGGTAGCAAACGTTCAATTTCGACACTGCACTTGTGACAAAAAAATCGTGGCATCGGTCTTCCGTCCGACACGCCGTCAGCCATGTTTTATGGTTTTAACCGTTTGGTCTTGTTCAATCCTACGAGATTCCAACCTTTAACCATTCAACGATTACAGAATACACGTAGCGGGGAGTCGTATTCGAGAATCCGATTCAGCAATGATAGCAGGCGCCGCCAATTTCGTCATCCTCAGTTACTAGAAAGAACCTAAACTTCGATACTTTATCCACAAACGGTGTAAATTTTTCATCGCTACGCTCACCTTTATCCCAAGTAGATAAACGGCAGCCATTAAAGGCACCTTTTGTACCAATTATTATCCAAAAGCGTTGCAACAATTTTTGATTGGTAGTTGATACATTACCAGCTTCTTTGAGTCGAGATGCTAACGTAGAATTGCATTTCCTTTGTTCTCTCTGCGATATCAATCCCCCCACCGTTGCGAGCGTCATCTGCTCGTACGTAAGGTAACTCAAAACTAGTGCGAACTGAATGCTAGACCCATTTTTGAAAAATATAAAAAATTTCTACATTCGTATCGGGGATATCGTTATTGACAAAGGTTCAAATAAAAGTGTCCAGTTTGTGTATCATTTACGATAAAAATAATGGACTATATTTTTAAAATTTGTCTGCCGATACATATTTTGGCCTATAGTCGTGCATGAATAACAACATCATTGAATCGTGACAGTAATTATAGTAGTTAGAAATAAAATGGCGTTATTCGGTAATGGTGTCAGTGTAACAGCGTTGCTCTCACGGAATCTCCAACAAAAAATGAAGACCATTCGTCACAGACTTTCAGATTCACAAAATCAGTCATCGACATCCCAACGAGCGATCGTGCACGTTCACTTCCAAAAGTTTCAAGTGCAGCTATGCCAAATCGACTATAGCTATTGAATTTTCCGTGACAGCAACCGCCGGTACCATATACATACGTAGAATACATACGGTATTAAGTCCAAGTTCAAATGAGGGAAGTCATGCTTAGTTTGCGACGTACAATTCTTTTTCTCCGCGTCGACGGAGCGATTTCTGATATCGTAAAACACAGTTGTAGTAACTAGAACTATTATTAACAAGGGAATCTTTGACACTTTCGAGTAATACTATTTTCATTTTCATTCGTAAAACGCATTCGAGTCATCGTTCGCACAAATCGCATTTCGATATAACAATCGAGGATGCGACATCTCACGGTCATTTTCTTCAAAGTGGCACATCTGGTGGCATCAGATCGGATGATCGAGCGATCGATTTTATTTAATTTGCAGAATCGTAACGATTTTTCTTTTTTTTTTTTTACGTAACACGATATAGCACGCACATCCGTTGCCATCTTTTTTTTTTTTCGAACCCGATTCATTGGTTTTCTTTTATTTTTTTTTCCTCTTCAATCTCTCATCTCCGCTGTCAATTAATTTGGTTTACCTATACGAGTAAATTCAATAGAGATTTCTTGTTTTTTTTTTTCTTTTCCTTTCATTAGCTTCGTCTTCTAGCTCTAAATATCAGGTAAATATGTTACAGTAATCGTTAATGCTAAACGAGTACTCGGCTTAATTCAAATAATTCTTACGTATACAGGATCGGTTGTAATGTCGCCGATCGTTCCGTTTATATTACCAGATCCCGGAAACGATTTTCAAAATTTATCGTCCTCGGCCCTCCCTTTGTGTGCATTGTTTTTGAAAAATAATACTTCGCCACAAAATACAAAAGTACAGAATGTACTGAACACATCTTTTTTTTCCTCTTTGTTCACTTTCTCTCGCTCGACCCTTGTTACACGCTATGTCATTTTTCTTCGCTCTCGTTTACGCGCACAAAAAAAAATTAACGTTACATCCAACCAATGTTCTAGGTCTGATTTTTTTAAAAAGAATATTTTTTCTATTTTTTTTTTTTTTTTTTTTTTTTTTTTTTATAAATATCTCTTCGTCCCTCAAACTCAATTCATGCGTCTCTCGCACCTCTTCGATTCTCAGTCGTATCGAATCGGTGCCGGTTAGAAAAAAAAAAAAGTAAATCAACGAAGGAAACAAGAGAAAAATATTTCATCCTTTGCTCCATCGCGATACAGAAATTACGTGAGAACCAATTCGTGCGATACAATAGAATGTCGAAGGTCTTAACGGTTTTCGTAAAGATCTTAGAAATTAGAAGCGAATTTCTTTAATACTAATTGTCCGTATTCGCACGACACCGTCGTTCCCCACCTTACGGTATACAAACTTTACACTGTAAAATACAATCGCGACTCCCACAAAGTTTTTGTATAAAAAGTTCTTCGTCAGAGATACCGGTGAGTCTGAAGATATTTTCTTTTCAAGTCTCTTCCCTTTTCTGTGCTCCCTTTAATTAGACAACGCTCCAATGTCGCTTAGACCAATCGCATTACAAATCGAAATTCTAATACTAAGGATATACACAGAACGTAATGTAGTATTCTCTTTAATTGAAATACATATATATGTATATATATATATATATAATGTATATATTTTTCTTTCGCTTTTTTTTTTCTATGGATTTAATTATTTTTTGTATTTTATACCATTTTCTATCGATTCCGTATCTTTTGTTCTTTCCAACGTTATCTCGCATACATGCAGCTGGATCAGTTTTATTTTTCAATTTTTTCCTTTTGTGCTGATTTTACATTTTCTTAAATTGTCCGGCAAGGTTCAGTACCTTCGGTCGGGTATACGCTTACGTTACACCGGGATACCCTGTGTACCTGCTTACATTGCAAGCTCACTCAATGAAACACTGATAATTGGCGACTCGAAGAGTCAAGAAATTATTTCAAAATACAACTGTGCATTCCAGGTATGCTGTAGGCAAACTGATTGCTAGTGATTGGTTTAAAATTTTAGAAATTTCTTTTGAATTTGGTATACAAAAAATATACGTAACTCATACGGAGACAGATTAGTTATCTTCTTAATACTAGGAATGTATAATTTACGTCACTTGTCATGGAATACGCGTATCAAAAAAAAAAATCCAAATATATATGAAGAATTCAACAAATGTAAAAGTATACAAGTATAAAAGGTATGTCGGGTGTCATGAAATGACCGCATTTTAATAGCGGGATCAGATTTTTCATAAAAAAATAAAACTATAGTTCCTTAAGCGTTTTTCATTTTCGCGCAATAATACTTCCGTGAAACGTTTATTTTGGATTTTTACGAAAAAACGAATTCGTGTCAGTTCGGTATCGACATTTTGGGAAACGCTTCGTGTAAATATACAATAAATATATTATAATGTAAAATAATAAAAGATTTCTCAACGCGTCAACACTTATGCGAATTTATATCGTTAAATAAAAAACTAAAAATCTTGGTAACCTCTTGGTAACGAGCAATGCACGCTGGTAGCTTAAAAATCATTAATTCCCACTCCCTCGCTTCTTTTCGGTACTTTAATAAAATTCAAAAGTCAATCGTCTTCTATTGTTTTCCACGATTGTAAAGTTTCTCGCGACATTTGACATTGCAATTATTTTTCTCGTATCCCGCTCGAAAAGTGTACTTTCAAAGTGTCACGTGGATTTTTAAATAAGTATATAAAAAAAAATGGTGCAACGGGTCCACCGTGTCCATGCCCCCCAAAAATCACATTTTTTTGATAAAATAACATTTAAACGTGGTCGTCTGTTTTTTTTTTAAATTCTCCTCTTTTTCAATTTTGTCGCTAAAAATCATATCCCCCCCCCCCTTTCTACCCCTCCGTTCGCAAACATTACGATCGACAGATACACCAACCATAACTAAATACGTAATCAATATTAATCTAGAATACTACTAATAAAATTTGTTAAAAAAAATCAAACTTGACTCACCACAGTCGCGAACGCCAGCGTTCTCGATTTTGAATTTTTTGAGTTTTCGTTTTCCCCGTCAACTACTTTCCCGCCCGTCCTTGATCGCAATTTTTGCTTATTTCATATTTCCCTTTCTAGCGACACATCCGCAATTTTTTGTTGGCACAGTCGCTCGTACGTTTGTGCGCAATATACGTTATCCCCTGCTCCCCTCTTCAAAAAAGAGAGGGGGACAAGTGAGTTTGATTATAAAATCGTCAAGTTGCCGAGAAACGAAGTGAAAATGAAAAAAAAAAAAATCGAGATCTACCGATGAAAATTTTGTAAATTAAAATCAACAATCAACGTCAAGACGATCCATAGATTCTCGGTATTATTTATAAACGTTAACGATTTAAAGTAATGTCAATGTTAATAAGTTTATCACTGTCCTACATCACGTTACTCTACGTTATACGTATATCAGAAAAAGGCTATACTAATTCAAGATAATCTGCAATAACGATCGACAATAAAAACACATCCGTAAATGAATCGAAGACAGTCGAAGAATTCGGAGAATATCCTGTACGAATTCAAAAATGGATTCGCGTGTACGCAGAATGACATCCGCGGCAAAATCGAAATCTTAAAGCTATTCAGCTATACAGAGTGTTCGTAATGAGTATCCTAAATGTGGTGTACATACAGTAGACTGCTAGAAAACTGTGTTCGATCTGATAACGCATGCTACCGATAAAATAACCGTATACTACCAGTAAATAAATGTTAATTGATGAAAACGATAATGGATACCGGATACGTCCGTCGATATACAACTAATACGTGGTTATGCGTTTTGGCACTGGCTTACTTAGATACAGATATTACATGAAATTATCAACGCTCGAATGACACATGTAACAATGAGATTTTTATAATTAATCCTCGTCCGAAGATTCGGTGGAGCTTTCCGGCATGGAGCTGAACCAATTGTCTCGAGCTCCGGTGCTCCTGAAAATATTAATTCCCAATCGATTTCAGGTACCGATCGAACGAAGCATCCTGGGGGTCCTTGATGACGTATTGTCATTTGCAGGTAAGAATTCAGATGACAATGGTCCTAGGGGCTTTACCTGGTGCGTTGACGAGTACTCGTCGGCAGTGTCAGGGAAGTCCTGTAATACTGTGGGGTCGTGCTGGAAGCAGTTTCCTCAGGTCGTCGATGTAGCGTCATGGTCTCGTGGGGTGAGATCACCAGCTCGTCCTCGTTGTCCAGGTAGTAACGTGAGCCAGTGGCGCTCTTGCAGTTCTCGCACTCGCTGCGATAATCGTCTGCGTCGTCGTGAAGCGTCGGCAGAGCTTGCATGCTGCAAGCACAGGCGACAGACTCGAAGCTGCCGTCCTGGTTGACCTCCGTACTGGTCTCCGTGCTTGGCTGCGAAGTTGTTCACCGGATGCGGGAGGTTAGTGTCATGGTTGGACTGAAGGGCAATGTGTTTCAGGAGGTTCTGATCTACCTTGTAGCTGCGGAGGGGCGTTGACGTCGCTTCCGGTGGCTGACCCTCGACCTGAGGTGGTGCTGACGGCAGGCCCACGAGGACGTCCTCGTAGAACGCATCAGACCTGGTGGTGGTCTCGTTGCTCTGGCTCTGGATCGGTGCCGTAGGTGGTGCAGACTGTGGTGAATGCTGTGGGGACACGTTCCTGAGCGGAGTGTCAAAGGGCGGCGGTGCCACGGATGGATGAGCCGTGAACTCTCTGCGCAACCTCAGACTTCCACTAGTGGCCAGGGTCCTGGGTATGGTACGATGGCTGGAGGTATTCGAGCTGGGTAAAGTGGCGGATATCGTGAAGGCGCCACCCTGGCGCGGAAGCGTCGTGTGCTGCTGGTACGTCTTTGGGACAGTCGAGTGGGACGTGGGTAACGAGAGCATGGTGTTCTGGATGCTCGTGTGCTGCTGTACGATACTCGAGATGCCGACTGGCGTCGGGAGGTTCTCATAAGTGTTGGTTCCCATGTTAAAGTTCGTCGAGCTACTTGGGTACAAGCCCGTAGTTGTATTGGAATTGTCGCTCTCATTCAGCTGGTGACAGTTGGTATTAGCCCCAGGGCTACTGTGAGGTCTGTTGTTGGAGGCGATCAGAGGCGACGTGCTCGTGCCGTGATTAGCCGAGAGGTTGGGCGAGGTCGAGGATAAGCCCTCGTTACTTGGGACTATGGGGATGCTGGCATGACTGTTGTGGTTCGCCAGGTAGCTGCTTGGAAAGTTCAAAGGTGACAGGGCGTGCGGACTCATGGACAAGAGGGCTTGCTCGGCCCTGGCCGCTGCTACGGCTTCTTCGTATGGCGGTGGGGCTTCTCCGCGAGGAAAATAATTTCCTGGTGGTTTCCAAAGCGGATATCCTCCGCCGCACGGCATGTCCTCCATTGGTACTCCACGTGGTAGACCACCGCGCTCCAGGTAGTTCATGCTGCCCAGACTTCTTAGCTCATCTTCTGTTGGCAGTTGGCAACTCTGTCTGCCTGCTAAGCAGACTAACGTCGTCTTTGTAAATCTTCATCATTTTGAGGTAATACACAGTTCATCCTCCTTCTTTTTACTACAGAATATTACCTCTGATCTTGCGCTGACGTAGACGATGGATCACAAGGAAGACGACACCCAAGGAGATGGCCGCCGTGACACAGCTGACTATCACTCTGAACCCGAGGTCGCTGTTAGCGTTGGGGTCGCTGATGTTCGCCCCATGTCCATCGCCCTTGTCGTTTGATACCGACGACAGGGTGTCATCCATACAGATGAATTCGCAGCAGGTATTACCGAAACGGAAGGACTTACAGTCATGCTTTGGCAACGCGTCCTAGAGAACAGCATGAAATCTGAAGATCCACCCTACGCTTGTCCCAAGTCCATAGTTTGTCAATCAATTAAAGATACCTGCGGTAACGTGCATATGACTGCTTTACACCACTTTGGATTCCCATTGTCGCATACGCAAAGTGTACAAGGTTCCGGTCCAGGAATATAGTGAAAGCCACTCTCGAACGAGCGTCCTTGCAGATCTTTGCACGTAATGCCACCGTTGGCTTGTCCTGTGAACATAAAGTAGGACTGAACTACTGACACAGTATCAAACAAACGGAAGATCCTAACGATCAACACTGGTTCCAATAATCCGGATGCAGATGGCGCGTAAATGACTGAGGTCCAGGGATCTTGGTTGCACCATCTAAATATCTCATGGAACAAATCAACTCGAACGAATGAATCATATCAGTATGCGGTACTCCCGATAAGCCTTATCTTCGCCAAGGGATGACTTTGGGACTTGTCACGAGATCAGTACCGGGTAGCATTAATTAATACCTAGGTAATGGGTACCCACCGTTGAGATGCAAAGTAAGTGTGAGGACCGCATAACCGAGGAGCTCACAGCTGCTGTATCTCATTCTGTATTCGTTATCTCATCATATCCCTTCACTCTCTCCGCCAGTAGCAAGCCTTTGTCCCCTCTCGCTTCGAAGTTGATACCTTGTCAACCAGACCTTGCCATTGAAATTTTTTAAATATATCTTCTGCGACGATATACCACGGAGATTTCAGATATCCGTCACGGGTCACCTTTCAGACAAACACACTTGTTCCGACACTTCCGCATATCTTCCACGGCACCGTGTCACAGTATTTCCGTATTCTCTTGCACAACGTCCCGAATGGGCACAGCGACTCCCAAAGTGATCGATTAGTAAACGGAGTAGCTGTCCATACCGAGGAAGAGGAGAATATCGCCATCTGTTTTCAGATGGGAAAACACTGGAGCAGATTTTAACTGGGCGTAGGAAACTTCCTTACCGACTCTCGTATGATACGGAAGAAGTAGAATCATATGCGATATTCGGTGTCGTCTGTCGGACGTGTTTGGAATTAGCAAGAGTTTGCAATGCTGATTCGGAGAATAAAGGAATTGCTGTTCTTTGAATTGTTGTGCTCAGCAATTCGATGACTACTGGATTTTGCTACTTGAAAATATGAAGAGATCTTAAATCGAAAACAAAATGCAATAGGCAACCTCTTGTACAATGAATATTTTGTAACTCAAACCTCTCGGCTGGATATGTAAAATTATAGGCAATATCGAAAACCGTAACCTTCCCTTTTGGCTTTTAAATTCTAAATCTTACCGAGTAAGTGTGATCACAAACGTGGAGCAACACGGTGAAATAAGATTGAAGGAATGGAAGAAAACGAAGACGAACCTGAGGACGTACGCAAGGCAACTCCGGTAGAGGATGAAATTGTGAAAGGTGAAAAGGATGAGAAGGCTAAAGAGGATGGGCCTAATGTCAAGAAACGGGCAAAGGCTCGTTGTGATAAAAATTTGAAGAAAAAGAGCAAGGTAGGGAGAGAAATTAAATAGCAAGATTACCGTTATCTTTGTATTCAAATTATTCCTCAGGCTGATGGCAACACTGAAAAATCCGATGCTGACTGCTGCCGTGGTAGACGAGGAGAATTGTCGAAAGCGCCAAAAACGACGACCGTTTTGGTTTATGAAAAACCGTGTACTTTACCTAAATTGGAAATTATACCGAGACACTGTCTGTCGAAGAAAGAATACATTGACCTCTTGGCGACTCCTAGGTGATCCGACATAAAAAATTAATAGAGACGATTGCTTGTAGAACATAAACTAAAATTTTGTAACTAATTATTTCAGTCGAAAATGCCCGCCGCCATGTTTGCGAAAACCGGTTGTCAGAAAAATTCGGCCAATTTCAGCACGCATCAATGAACTATCTTTGCCGACGAGACAACGAATTACGGCGACGCTTGAGGAACGTGGTTCCACGCTTCCGCCGGAATTCGTGGACAACTTGATTAAGGTCCTCGAAGGGGAAGCCTGCATGACACCTGAGTAAGTATAGAAAACTGTTCAGTTGGGTGGTTAGATCGACAATGCGTTGTGTGATTAATTGTTTCCTTCAGGCAAGCTTCGAGATACTTGCGGGATAAGAAGAAACGTGGGAACAAGAAACAGAAAAAGGATCCGAGGTACAAGTGTAAGGAAAAATTGAAAAAGAAAAGGTCACAACGCGTGAACTCTTTGGGTCTTGACGAGGAAGCTGTGAAGTGTCAATATTTAATGGCTGAACGCTTCGTGAAGAGCATATTGGAGTGGAAATGCGCTATACCGAAGGAAGAGTTCAAGGATATTGCTGATGTAATTCTTAGACGACTCAGTTATACTTTAAACTACACGCCCGTGCAGGAGGAGGACCGGAAGTCCCAGCAAATGCGACTGCTTGCGGATATGGTCGCTTCTTGGATCTCTGGTGTGTTGTTTGAAGTGGCTGAAGTGCACAAGAAAGAATTGGAGGAAGAGTGTGAGAGGAGACGCAGAGAGAAGGAAATGGAAACTGATGAGTCTGAGGAAGAAGAGGACGAAGATGAAGATGAAGAGGAGGACGAGGAGGAGGATGATGAGGAGGAAGAGGAGGAAGAGGAAGAAGTGATTACCGAGAAGGAGGAAGAGAAAAAGAAACCTAAGAAAGACAAGAAGAAGACAAAGGAAGATAAAAAGAAAGGTAAAGGGAAGAAGGGGGATAAACCAGGGAGAGAGAAGAGCGCCGAGAAAGATGTTCGTGAAACTAAGGACGAAGAAGGGTCTAAAGAGAAAAGCGAGGAAGTGACAGAGACACCGGTTCGAGAAGAAACGGAAGTAAGTGACGCAATAACGGAAACTGAAGAAGAATCAAAGAAAACTCCGGATGAAGAAGTAGCTGTCGATGAGACGAAACCTTCCGAAGAAGAGACGGCCGAGGCGGAGAAGACACTTAAGGAAGAAGAGGAGGCAAAAGCGGCAGAATCCGAGCGGATCAAGGCGGAAGAGGAGGAAGCAAAATTGAAAAAGGAAGAAGAGGAAGCGGCGGAGAAGAAGAAGCAGGAGGATTTGGAAGAGGAGAAGAGAAAAGAGGCGGAAGAAGAAGAAGCTAGAAAGAAGAAAGAAGAAGAGGACGAATTACAGAAAATAAAACAGGAGAAAGAAGAGGCAGAGAAGAGGAAGCAGGAGGAAGAAGAGGCAGAGAAGAGAAGGCAGGAGGAGGAAGCAGAAAAGCAACAGCAAGAAGCAGAGGCAGAGAGAAAGAAACAAGAGGAAGAAGCAGAGGAGCAAAAGAAGGAGAAAGAGAAGTTGGAACAGCAGAAAAAAGAAGAGGAAGAGGAATTGGATAAGAAAAAGCGCGAAGAGGAAAAAGCAAAGGAAGAACAGCTCAAAGCAGAAAGCGGAAAAGAAAAGGCAGGAGGAGGAAGCAGAAAAGCAACAGCAAGAAGCAGAGGCAGAGAGAAAGAAACAAGAGGAAGAAGCAGAGGAGCAAAAGAAGGAGAAAGAGAAGTTGGAACAGCAGAAAAAAGAAGAGGAAGAGGAATTGGATAAGAAAAAGCGCGAAGAGGAAAAAGCAAAGGAAGAACAGCTCAAAGCAGAAGAAGAAGCGAAGAAAGCATCAAAGATTAAAGAAGAGCAAGAGAAAAAGGAATTAGAAGAAAAACTTAGGGATCGTTCACGAGAAACTTCAATGAACATGGACGATATTAGAAAGATTTTCAAAACTGAATTGTCGTTCGTCACGTTTGGTAGAATTTTCGACGCGGTCAACAAAATCATACAAGAAGAAACACAAAGTTCCGGAGACGACCCAATAGCGAATCGCATAAAATATGCAATTTATGAAAAATTCACAAATCTAATAAAATCCGAGGATCCGAAACTCCTGACTGAAAATTTGAAAGACTGCGTGAATATTCTGGCAGGAAAATTGTCATCTTGGCTGGCGACGACGATCACAGACTCCCAGCTGAATTTCATGAAGAAGCATCCAGCTGAAGTGGAATCGGTAGACATTCGTAACTGGTCCAGTTGGATCGACAGCACAACCAGTACAGCTGATCGGTGGATCAGCTGGATACGTAAAACCATAAGGGAAGCCGAAACTATGCAGGACAAGAAAGTCACCCGCTCGGAATGGCACGACTGGACCAAATCTGTCGATACGAATGCTCTTCTCTGGAGAAGATATTATCTTCAAACGCTTCATCAGGCCGATAGAAACTTGACAGCTCTTCACGGCAGGAATATCGTGAAGACAGGACAGAAAGGAAAACAGAATCCAAGAGAGATGGAAATGAAAGTAACTGACTTGGAAGCTGATTAATTATACGATAATCGAAGTTGCTCCTAGATTGTATAAAATTTTTTAATTACATTTACAAAATGGCTATCAGTATTATTATCAACTATTTTCTTGATTAGAATCGTTAAATTGTGAGAGAGTCTCAAGCACGCGACTACTTTCTACTTACGCCGATGAAAAATCACATTTTCCTTTTGTTTCCTGATTTCTCGACTTTTGAAAATTTACATGACGGTTGCCATAAAAATTTTGGAGAAACTCTGAATTTTACGGAAAATATTTTTATTGATAATACAATACATTACACTTTTTACATAATATCGCAATGGCGCGTCTCAGTTTCTACGCGAAACACTGAGATATTAAAATTTATTTTACTGTCGCACAATGATTTTTGAAATCATAAACCGTGTCAACTTTAGCATTTTGAAATTAAAATGCGTTTCCGTTGACTTCTCGCGAAATACAATTGAACGAACGAATGAATATTGATTAAATAATAACAATGAGAACGTAACAAATTTCCAAGTCATTCTTAATTTATATTCAAATTCATACAAAACAATCTACGCACAATTCCACGTAGTTATTACGCGTAGCCATTTTCCATATTTATCAAAATCCATCCCACATTTTCATACAACAGGTATGGAATTTTCCAAAGTCTGTCAAAAGTTTTAAAAACCGAAAACTCTTGCAATTTTCTTCCAAATTCCCAACCGCGTTCTTCACTCCGGTATCCTGATGCTGGGTACTTGCAAAAAATGCTGATTGGTGACCAGTTTCTGAAAGAAGGTTAAAAAGAAAAAAAAATGGTAAATATAATCATTTACACATACAGCGCATCCTCGCTACCGTAGAACATCTAGAAACGGGACTTGTCTAAAAGTAAGAGCGAGAGCTGACGGCTTTTACCAGTGCGACGCCCTGAATATATTGACCTACTGTTACACGACGTGGTATCGCTGCCTGAGGTTGAGACTCGAGAGACTCAAAAATAGAAAGAGAAACGTGGGCACGCGGTCTCAATGTCAGTGCCGAGCAACGGTACTCAGCCATACAAATATACGTATACGCATACACGTAATAAAGAAACGGCACCTTCGTGAAATCAGGAGAAAGGAAGAGTGCCAAAAAAGAAAATGTAATAAAATAGCCTATAAACGAGGAACGAGTGAAAAAATTCCAAAAGTTGGATCGGCTGCAAATTTACAAAAAAATAATAACTTTCCACCTTTGGAAATTGATGGACTTTTTAAATTATTCGAAATCGTTGTCCCGGTCTGACGAATTTATTTTTACAAAAATTTCTGCATTTACAAAGAAAACTTATTGTTAGCCTAGTTTCAGGAATATCTATACCGGCCCAGTCAGCTGGCACAAAGTGTGCCAAAGAAAGAGTAGACCTCAATATTCTAGCAGTAGGGATGCACAGCAAGCCGTGACATTGCGCGCGCGCGCACTTCCACCACGAGCAGGAGCATCGACCGGACCTTTTCGTCGGAACGTGATACACCGACGCGGTGGCGTCGTTAGATGGTGCTGCCATTGGTATCAGAGTGATAAGCAAGTGCCGAGTGATTAGTGTCACCCTGGATGAGCCAGGAGTCGTCAGTCCGTCGAAGAGTGAACAGTGACGGTGATAACGGAAGATATAGAAGAAATTGGTGAATTGCTGGGAGTTTATTGAACGAATGTAATTAGCAGGTAAGGTTGGGTGAGTTTAATAAAATAATTCCAAAATAAAAATGGACTCTGTCGACCGGTTGAACTTTTCGATCGATCGGCACATTCCGGAGATAACGTAAACTTCCTGCTATCATCTGGACAGTTTGACGATAGGCGTTATCAAGTTTTAAAAGTAGTGCAAGCTGCTTCTATAAATTTGTTCGCAAGCGAACGAGGTCTGAGGTGACGTAAAAATAGTTGTTCCCGTCTTCCAGAATGACGCTGTCCACTTTAGAGAAGATAGCCCTGGTGATAGTGGCCGCCGTGGGACTTCGGATATTTGTGAGGCTGAGCTTGCTCTTATGGAAAAAGATAATAGCGCCGACGATTGGTCTTGGGATCGACGTCGCGTCTCAGGGCAGATGGGCCGTCGTGACAGGAGCCTCCGACGGATTGGGTAAAGCCTTCGCCAGCGCCCTTGCAGCTAGGGGAATGGACATCGTCCTGATCTCCAGGACCCAGTCGAAGCTGGACGAGGTGGCGGCTGAGTTGAAAAGTAAATACGGGGTCGAGACGCGAGTGATAGAGGCTGACCTGACCCAGGGTCAACCTGTGTATGCTACGATAGCAAAAGCCATTGAGGAGCTGGAGGTAAGATTTTATTAATAATATTTTATACCTCAGTCTTTAATATCCTGGGGCTTTTCAGGTTGGTGTGCTTGTCAACAATGCTGGCCTGAGCTACGATCACCCTGAGGTCTTCGTAAACGTTCCCGAGGAACATCTTGCCAGGATTCTTCAACTGAACGTGGCAGGCGTGACCGGAGTCGCGCGTGCTGTTTTACCAGGAATGATGGAACGACGTCGAGGAATCGTTATCAATATTAGTTCTGCATCCGCCGCGATGCCTAGTCCTTATCTGTCGGTGTATGCCGCTAGCAAAGCTTACGTTGACAAACTGAGTGCTGATCTTGCTGCTGAAGCAGCACCAAGAGGTGTCACTGTACAGTGCGTGCTGCCTGGTCCGGTAGCGACGAAGATGTCAAAAATTAAGTATGTCGTTTTGTCAACACGTTTGACCCAGTGGTGAGGAAGGTGGTAATGAAAAATTTTTCCTTTTTTGACTTAGGAAGGCCACGTGGATGGCACCGACACCTGAGAAATTCGTCGAAGCCTCCTTGAAGACCATCGGTATCGAATCCAGAACCACCGGATATCCGCCTCATTATCTTATAATTGGGATTGTCAATGCGCTGCAGTGTATGTGCGAAAAGGGCGCCGTCTGGTTGGTAGCTAAGACGATGTTGAATATTCGCGGTCGAGCCTTGAGGAAGAAGTTGAGGGACCAGAGTAAGGACGTGCAGGACATTCCGAAACGTGAGAGTGTCGCGACCAGTTAACGCACGGAATAGTCTCATGGTTATATGTACACTGTGACAACCGAAGGGTCACAGGGTCATATTGTTCAGATTAATATATTTACAAGAATCTTGTTAAAAAATAAATTGTTATTACTTTAATTTTGATAACCTTTTTGCGTTTTCGCTTTTTGCAAGTTACGTTACTTCTTTTAATTATTTTTTTAAACAATCGTATTCTGACCATCACGGGAACTCTTGTGCCCTGGGTCAGAGGTCACGGTACCGACGCTCTTATTAAAACGTTAGGAAACGAATACATCAATTGATTAGTGTAATCAAACCGGACGTCATTGTTACCCAAGGTGAAAGTTATAACAGCGTGGAGTCTCTTGTAAATTTACAGTCATCACCGAGCACGCTTCTTTCTTAACTTTAATTACGAGTCACGCACTTATACCCATAGGGAAATGAGTGCAAGGCCTTACCGAATTGTCGATAAAGAAGTTTCCTACTTATCTGTCGCGGATAGGCGTACTGTTATTATCAACATTCTTTACTAACCATCTCCTGGCGCGACGTCCTCTCGAGAACGTCGGTCGTCGTGGAATTGAGTCTATCAGGAATTTGTGCGGGAACCATAGTTGCGCTTTGGGCCGTCATTGTACTACGAGTCTGTCCACTTCCCACTGTAAAATTTTTCCAAAAATCACAATCACCGAATAATTATAATCTCTTAATTGAATTTTATATTTAAAATTACTCATTGCTTACCGAAAAATACGTGGAGTACACCATCGAGATCCATTTTTTTACAAAGCTTTCCTTTTTCAGTTTTAAACAACTAAAGCTAGCTAATCAACGGGCGTATTCGCTGAGCATCCAAGAATTCGGCAAGTGGAAGATAAGAGGGATGCTGAGTGGGTACAGCCACGCGCTTACTGGCTGGCTTTAATTGTTTATAACTTTAAGAGAAAAGCTCGGCAAAAAATGGATCAAGACTTTTTCTTTCAAATTTTCCTCTTCTACTTGATGGTGTACTCCACATCTTTCTATTCCAGGACACCCTGTATAATATATTATAAAACCCACCTTTAAACAGGCTGTGTACAGTATGCCGAACACTCTTTTTCGAGAAGTCTACTGGCGCCCGGATTCATCTTTGGTGTCTGTCGTCCTGCAATACAGAGAGGAAATCTCGAATTTTTTTTTGACAAATTTTTTTTTCCCGGGCGCCAGTTTACGTATCTCTTGTTTCACCATAGTCATAGATACGTTATCTGCCATTGTTATTGCCCATAGCAATAGCGATAAACAATTGCGAAATAAGAATCTATTAATCAAAAATAAGCTCACCGGTACTGCGACGTACTAGTTTCATCTCCATGTCGACTTTGGGCGACGATCCGTAGAGAAAAAAGCGCTTGCAACATTCCCTGCGAAATTCTACGGAATAACTTCCGTAAATCAGTGGATTGGCACATGAGTTTCCTACTGCGGTCAAGAAAAATATGTCTTGAATCGGCGCGTTTATTAAATTCGCACTGTCCCTGTCGAATATCAACCTGAAAAGATGCATTATTTTACTTTATATTGATTATTGACTATTTAAAAAATTTTTTGAAAATTTTTTTTTCCATTCCGCAATATTCATAATTACCAGAGCGACATTGCTACGTATGGCGTCCAACAGAATATAAATACAGCGACGATCGTTATCGTCAGTTTTAGGGTTCGACTTCTTGCTCTCTCGATACTCGATATGTCTGATCTTCTCAGTTTCAATCGTCCAGCACTTCCGCTCATTGCTGAGCTACTCAGGGTACAGTTGCTGCTTGATTTGGTGATGGCTAATCGGTCGTTATAAATTGGTGGATAAATTTTGGATGATTTATTAATTTCTTTTTTTTTCTACTATTTTCATTCTGATACCTTGCTTACTTTCACGGCTTTTGTTGCTGATTTCTCGCAGGATCTTCGCGTAGACCCAACAAATCACTGTCAGGGGTATGAAGTACATTGCTAGCAATCCGAAGAGATTGTAAATTATTTCGTCGACTCTCGATACGAAAAATCCAAATGTTACGCACTGATGAAAATCTGGATAATCTGGATGGGGCGAGACGTGAAAGATGAAACTCTGAAAAAAAGTGATGAACGAATATTTAACTTAGTCACTTGGGACTCGTGAATCATGGTCGTTGCGATGAGCTGTTGTATCGAGAATTAAAGGACGGTCTTATGGATGAATTTTAAAATCGGATCATTCCATCGACAAGTTATCATAGGTTAAAATAATTATTGATTGTCCTGAAAAAATATTCAGGCTACTTTTTATAAACTTTTCGATAATAAATTTATTCCTGTTTCCGATGCGTCGTTTTAAAAAGTAATTCCTATCAAGACGATATTGTCAATAATATATTTTTAAAAATATATCATTTAAAAAAAAATGATATTCAATTTAATGTAGCCTTTGCTAAAACGTGGAAAAACAAGGTTTATTTTACCATTAAAATTTAAAAGCCACGTTCATTTATCGGTATTACGAGTCCCTGCTTTATATTTTCTTAATATACACATTCTTCATAAAGGCGTCCCCATAATGGACTATAATGATTATTTGAGTATTGTACTATAATGTACTATAATGACTATAGACTATAAGTACTATAATGACTATAATGAGTATTTTTGGTAAAAATAAAAAAAAACATTCAAATCGACTTCGATATGAATCTAACGAAGAGGACTCCTGTACTTCCTGATTTTCTGTACAGGAACCAAAGAGGACCCTGACCCGAATTAAGAATCCGGTGCCCAGCTGTCCCCGATGCCCTGGGGAAGCGACCGCGGATGATCTCCAGGAGTCGCGTACCGATTCGCTAAGCAAGGCTCTCGCTTTAGTTCAAAGGGAAAACTCGAGGGAAATGATATGAGTTATCGGCTATAAGGATCTCGACCAATCGGAACGATTAGTTCTCAAATATTACTATTGCCGATTGGCTGCTTCAAAGTCAGTCTGACTTGGGACGCCGATCGGAGTGGCTCGAGCCGGTTCGCGCTCCCGGGTTGTTTACTAGTTCCTCTACCTGTGTTTACTATACGGTATAAAAAGTTGTCGCAATATCCAGAAAATCCTATAGATTTTCTACATGCATTTCGAAAACGCAGTTTTGTTCTACAGTGCCAGTGCCTAACCAAGTGTACCCTGGATGCAGTTCTCGTCCTTCACCGATCAGCTGTTCCGGTGAGTCCTCCCGATTTATTATTTGGTGATGGGATTTCGATTTTATAGGTTAGGTTCGGTCTGATACGTTCATTTGCCCCTGTCTCCGGCACTGGTTACTTGACGCTTCCTCCGACCTACCTCAACCTAGCAGATTAAACCGGCATGCATTTCCGTAGCCTTTCGCTCCGGTTGGTGCATCCATTTGCACTTGCTGATTTTACGCGACCCGAAGTTTTCGTCAGAGTTCTCGTTTTCAAGAAGTTCAGACTGTTCTATGTAGAGTTCAATTCTCGGACCTTTCAATCACCCCTCTGTCTCTTTTTCTCTGTTTGTTTTCGTTACATATTTTTCCAATTTCTTCCTTCCTCGTGATATGACTTTGCTATCACAGTAAACTCCGCAATAAATATGCAAGACGGTTCGAGCATCAGCATCCCTTACTGCGATCTCTACCAGAGGAGCAGTCACGTCAATTTGCGTTCGCTTACGCTTGTCTGACTCCATTTCCCATGTTTTGACTCTAGGACCAATTTCGAGTCTTCGCAGATAATTTCTCTGCATCTTCATCCCTGTCTCATCCTATACTCTGTATCTAAAGCTAGAATCTCATTGTCTGTGACGGTAGTATTCTCTACGTCAAGGCTGGATCCCCAAAATAATCAGGGAATTGGTCCATTTGATACAATTATTTTTTATTCTCATTCTTCCCTGTCGCTCTGTATCTCCTTTTATCAATTTTTTATTTCCAATTCCATTCCAACCCTTTTCTCGTCTTGTTCCCTTTCACCCGGCCCTATCTTTTTCGTTTCTCTTCTCTGATTTATCATTGCCCCTCTTTCCAGCTTCCACTCAACTACGGTCGATCTTTAAATCCTTTTTAAAAATTTACTCAGAAATCTTTCATTTGTCATTATGACTTGTGACTTAACTAATCACTTTTCATAACCTCAAATTATTATATCACGTCAGCTGTTATCTATTAGAATTCATTTTGTTCACTCTCGTGGTATCACCTTACTCTTTGTTTCTTCCCCTGTACTTCATTGGTTGCGCAGTCAGGATTTTTTTTCTTCGAATCGAATTAATCTTATCGTAATCAAGGGCTTCTTGGGCTTGGTATAACTATATTTGTTTTTTGTCTCGTCGTGCTTTTATTACTGACTCGTTTCGAAATGCCGGAATTTCCTTGGTGAAACTTTTTACGTAAAGCCTAAACGATCAGGGATCTAGAGAATTTAGAGCTTCCTCGTACCCGACCTAACCTATAATAACCTTTGTCAGAAACGTCCTAGCAATCCTTTCTGTCAAGTGAATTTCTAGTTTCGCCGCTGTGTACAAAGAAAATGGGTTTGACAAGGGTCGCTGTGTTCGGTCGCCATTGAACAAGTCCAGGGAGCCACGTGACATTGGTTCGCCATTAATGAAAGTGACCAAGTTCAAGATTCTTGACATTCGATTCAACCTCGTGTACCGAAAATAAATTGATCTCGGTCAGTTTTTTCTCTTGGATCTGATTTTTAGTCGCTCAGCATTTTCACGAACTTTCTTTTTCATCTTCATCGCGACATACGGAAACGGGACATACAAATTGGATTTGAGAATTTGAAAGATTTGAGCAGAAATATTCTCAACTTCTCCGACGACATCTCGATCGTAATTTCGGTAATACGGGCTTACATAGTGAAGTTATAACGGGTGTCGGATTTGAAATTTTTTTATTGCCTCAAACTTTATTAGGATTTAGTTTTTTCTATGTGTCTGAGGATCCTGCTCGAGAAAAGGATAAACAGCTGTATTTTCTTTGGACGATATTTATTTTTCTAATGGTTTCCCACCTGCCAATTGCTATTGCCACGGGCTAATATCTCGATTGACAATTTTCGTTTCGCCAAGAATTTTCGTTTTCATTGAATTCGATATACCGACCCTTCATGCAGTGAACAAAATAAATATGAGCATCAGGTCGCAGGTGAATTATTGGAATAATTTTTTGCTTACAAAATTTATTTTTAAAAAGTTATCAGGAAAAGTTTTCTTATTCCTGATCGTGGTGTATGGCGTGTTACTGTGCAGTGCATATAGGCTTGCTTGCATAGTGCACTCACTGGACTCGAGAGGCTCCTGAAAATTGTACAGTCGGCGGAAATGAACAAGTGGGCTTTATAGTTGGTTGGAGTGAATTTGTGCGAAATATGTAATCAGAGCGGAAGTTATGTTGATATTAAATTTTGGTTCTTGTCGCTTGATTAATTTTTGATTAATACGAAAACTTTGTCGATATTTCAATTAATTGCGATAAATCATACGTACGTATATTTCGATTAATTTTCATCACTCGCGAAAAATTGTGCGACATACGAAGAAGGCAGATATTTCCATTTTCACATCGTCTCTCCTAATCGAATTGGCCTTCCGTTCAAAGTGACGTTTGAGCGTAGCCATAAAAAATTGCAAATATACCTGACTCAAAGTTAGCGCGATTAGCATTAAATTTAATTCAAAGAAATTGAGCCATTTCGAAAAATTGCTTTTTCAAATTTCCCATGAATTTCCATAAAAATTATTAAAATTATTAATCGCGTTAAGTGACGTTTCGCAAGTTTTAATTACATTGAGAGTGATTTGCTAACTTCACTTTATTTTTTATTTCCCATGAGATTTCAATCCTTTGGAAATATCTTGGATCAAACGTTCGGCAGATTTATCGGATACACGTTTTGTTTAGATCCTTGACGGACGTTTGGCTTTAATTGGATTTTATAATGAATTCATTCTTAATCTCGTTCCCCAGTACTGTTTTGTGTATTTGAACATTGGCATTATTGCCTCTCTGTTCACCGTACACGCATAAAGGGCAGTTGGACGGCAGAGTAAAATGAAAAAAGAAGAACGATCGGAGCAACTAACAATAAAACGTAGCTCACCTGCGGCGTCGCGCAAATAACACTGGAAATCCAGGCTACAGCCAGCATCCGATTCCCACGTCTTCTTGCTTCGTTTACGCGCAGCGGATATAGCACGGCAAAGTATCTGAAAGATGGCGTTGGAGCTCAAAAGTCAAAGTTGAATTTTTAACGTGACTCGGAAAGGATTTTAATAATTTATCAAAAAGCATATACAGAACCTGTCCAAAGAAACGCAGATGAGAACGTTGCTAGACAAGTAAAGCCCGAAGGCCCGAAGGAATAGTAAAATCTTACAGGCCAAATTCCCAGCCATCCACCTTACGGTGATTCGCCAGATAACCTGTAATCGATTAATCGAAATTACGCATCGATTGCATATAGTCGATTTTTAAATTTTGATATTTTTTTCTTCTTATCTCCTCGACCGAGCCAATTTCTTAAAATTTCGTAACCCGCCGCGTGAAAATTATTTTATTTCGGATTTGGCGAACGTGCCGGGCAAATATGGGGGATTGTTAATATAGATTGACAAGGTAAAAAAAATGTACCTATTACGTGACTGTCCAAATTTTAAATATTCTCTTTACATATATCTATATCGCTCGTCAAAAAACGCGATCGTAAATTGTTATACCGTGTTATTAATTTTATGAAAATTTTGATCTGACCTCGATACGGAATGAAAGGGTTGAGCGACCTTTGATTAAAAATTTACTTAGACATGCATCCATTGTATAAAGTACGTGTATCCAAAGCTTCGCTATATATACATATATACATCCACGTATCCCTTATAAATACACGCTGTCAATTTGCCGAACAGTCATAGGGCTAATTTGGTGTGTCTCATCCGTTAAATTAATTTCATTTGGGACACGCGCTGCTTTTGATATTTATAATTAGGCCTGTATTGATGCTTATTAAGGCACATGCATATTAATATTTTGACAATTAATCGCTACCACAACACAAGCTGAGTTAGTTTCATAATTGCTACATGAAATCGGCTTTGACTTTGAATTTGGCAAATATCACAATTTACTACCGGGTTTCTGTTCCCAATTTACAAGCTTATTTAGAGCCGAGCACAGGAAATTGTCTCTCTTGTCATGCGAGTCCTGGATCGATGACAATCGCTGTTCTGCTGGCTTCAATTGCAAGTTGCTTATTGCGTTTGATGATCAGTGGCTTTGGTAACTTTGCTATAGTACGTTGTTGTTTCTGAATTTAATGAAGCTTCGGTCGGGAGCGCTTAATGAAAATTGTTACGTGCGCTAATAATTATTTTGTTAATAATGCTTAACGGTGCTAATGATATTCAATGGCTGATAAATTATTTAAGTGCACGTGTAATATTTTTTATCCTCACCTCAAGAGGTATCATGATGAAAGTAACGACTAGATCAGCCACTGCCAAGTGACAGATCATCAATGATATTCGTGACCTACGGTTACGGCTGCGCAACAAGGTCACGAAGACTGTCAGGTTGCCGACGGCGGCTACGACGAAGCAAAGACAATAGGCGATCACCAGAGTCAGCGACTGGTCTGTGAACGTCATCTCCGGCGGCAGGGTGGCATTCTCCATGTCGGTGCGAGCGACGGTCGCTGCTCTGGAAAGGAAATTTTTTTTTTTTTTTTAATTTTTATTGGTACGTCGTTTCGCTAGAAAATGTTGTTTCCTGCGATTCTGCGTGAAAATATTGTCTGCTTTTATTTAATTTTTGTAATTTTTGGTTAACACGGTACGGAGGTTCAGAGTACTTCGGTTGACGATTTTCTGAAGTTTTTGACTTTGTTTTCGCTGATCTTTTTTTTATTGATAAATTTTTTTTTTTGTACAACAATTATATTTATGCAATCGGTCGAGTCGATGGACGATCAATCGTTCGCTCTTACCTTGAGGTTTCGTTCATTATCCAAAGACGTGGTTTTGAGTTTTTGAATTTATCCAACATTTTATCGCTGATTTCCCGCCATGTCTTTTTTTTACGGTTGTCACTTTTTTTTACGAGTTTTAATCACTCACAACACCCCGCTGTACATTTTTGAAATTTTTATATTTTTTGCGAAAAATAAATGCTTTACCCCAAAAAGGCTGTTTTTAAACAGGTACGTGTATGTCGCGTGTATCGAGTAGCAGGTTAACGCGTTTAAATTTGTTATCGCAACGGCACTTGTTTATCAACATGGCAATTGTTACATTGTCTAGATGCACGATTGTTTATTGGCGTAATTTGAATTTGATGAATTGCCGCTCTCAGTTGAACTGTCAATAACAAATTATTTAATGAAACGAACGGAGGATCGATTTGCCACGTGAATAACCGGAAAAAGAAATTTTATGTGGTTAAAAAAAAAATTGAAACAAGGCAAGTAATTGAAATTCAAAAATTCAATAATTATACCATCGAGCCTCGATTTATCGTTTCGTTATACGATTTGTCGAAGTTTTCAAGAACTTTTTAAAATTATTTATTTCACGGTCAAATCCCATCGATCAACCGATTCGTTTAATTCTGTCATTTCTCTTCTTATTTTCGACACTCACAAATTTTGAGAAGCATTAAAATTTATAGGATTTAGGTAAAATCGAAATTGGCGGATATACGCGACGTCCTAGGTCTCTCAGTGGAGTACGGACCCGATGTGCCCGAGTGTGCGCGACGCGTCGTAATGTTGAGAACGCGGCTTCGCGTATCTGGAGAAATTCCAGTACGCAAGCTCGAAAAGGTTCCGTAGCTCACGGAAGCTTTTCCGTTGAGGTATCTGATAACAGTCGCATTTGTCATTCGGGCTATCACGTTGAGAATTGATACTGTTTAGACAATTTTATCGTCCTCCCTCCTATCCCCCGGCAAGAGACAATTAGAGAACGACAAAGTGTCAGATATGGGAAAAGTTTAATTCCTCTATCAGTGAACTGTCAGTCTGACGTTTCGTATTACCCAAAAGCACGGCAACGAGTGTCGATAAAAATCATGACTGGGAGAATTATTGGAAAAAGTACGAAAAAAAAACTAGTTGATAAATTTTATTTTGAAAAATATGAATTTTCGAAAAACCCGATCCTATCGGAAAGTGACGAAATTGTTGAAGGAAAAGTTTTCAAACAAGTAATGCAATTTGAATCGTAACTCAATTTCCGGTATAATTTATCGAAGTGTTCCTAAATTCATCGAAAGTTATCGATACCTATGGGTATATGAGTTTCAAAGAAATATTATAAAATTGGCACCTCGAACTCACAGGGGGTGTGTTTATATACCCGTTGGGTTGCGTTGGGGGTGGAAAAAAAAATGATATACAAATTAGAAATGGATTTTATTTGTATATTTTATTAAAAAATTATTTCGTACGTATCTTCAGTCAGGTTGCATAAATTTTGATTAATCCTATGCGATTCGGTGCCCAAAATCTGAACGCTCCTTATAAAAGTCGACTGCGCTTGAGTTCTATCGCACGCATAATTCTGGACACTGAGTATATTTTCGAGAGTGAAACTCGAATTTGTTGTACCGATTTTCAAAAAATCACCCCCCTTCTCCTCCTCCCCATAGAAAATGCTGCCAAAGGCCAGGCACTCGTTGTCGCACAGCAGATTCACCAGCAGGTCAAGATCGTTTCTCATGGTACCCAGGGTCGTGTCTGCGACAGTCTGAAAAGAAAAAAAAAAGATTTTTTTTAATTTCCCGTTACCTAAGTATGTCTTCCGACGTATCGATCATCGAAAATCCATTGAATTGCGGATTACAGTATAAGTTCGTTTTATCCGACCGACAGCATCTTTTATCAATCGTATATGCCTGGCAGCACTGAGCTTTCGGTTGAAGGATTTTTCGAGCCTTTTTTTCCTACGATTAAACAGAACCTCAAGAGGAGATAAATACGCGTGAATCCAGCTTTGCTATTGACACTGGTACCGTGACCAAACAGATATTGGATTCCTGTGTCTAAGAGGAAGACGTATTAAACCAAGTGTCAAAATAGGGACGAATTTATTCTCTAAAAACTTGGGCGCAGTATAGATTCGAAAAGATCAATTAGATCTGCGATAATCTGCCTGTTCTTTTTTTTTTTTTCAAAATATCACGTCCCACCAAAATACCACGATTTCGATCTCAAGAAAGCTTGCGTATGTCCAGCTAATTATTTATTAGTCAAAAATAAATGAATTTTTCAAAAATTATCGAAATGTCAATTAAAATGCAAAATTTTGATTAAAATTCTTCCGCATTCTTGTCCCATGTAAATACGGGGCATTCAGACGTGCGAAAGGGCAAACCTGTCGTTTCGTATTAAAATAGGCATTTGGCTTGACTGACCCCCCCCCACTATCACCCCCTTTTCCAATCTGATAAGCTATTCCAACCTCGTGAACAGGAACGACGTGTCCAGGTCGAAGGAGACTGACGATCTCACCGATGGCGGCTGTTACGGAAGTGGAGCAGTTGGATGACGTCACTGGCGAACCACCCTGAAGATGTCTCCAGGTATATTGACCAGGTATCCACATGGTCACCTGATAAACTTCAGGAAGAGTCACCAGGCCGATCAAGATGGATTCGCCCCACATGAACTGGTCCCAGCTATCCCGTACTTCCGGTTCCTTCGGATAGTACAGCGACGTCGACGCCATGACCGGCGTCCCTTCTCTGTAATATTTGGCCAGATTGGTGTGCTGATAAGTGGCCAAGGTCGCTCGTAATCGGAGGAGCTTCGCGGCGTTTAGGGATGCTGCGGTCGGTAGATACGAAGAACCGGGTAACCTCTCGGGTAGGACCATGACGTGAGGCCATGGGACTGCTGCTCCGTACCATCTGTAATTTTATGGTGAACCTTGACCTCGGCTATATTATTATTATTATTTCGTAACATAACCCCAATTTATACCTCACGCACAGATCAGCCTCTAAGTAAACGGCGTGAGTACCAGTACCGCAGACGTACATCGGAGGCGGAAGTAGTCCGACCAGACCGGAACCTACCCCAACGCGAATAGCCTTCCTCAGTGATGCCCAACTTGAATTTCCCGCCTCGCCCGCAATTCCACGTAGCTCCAAGACCGTCGCGTTGCTCTGGATAAAATTCCGGAAGCTTCTCGAGTACGAATTGTGCCGGGTGTGGTGGACGGATGAGGTGGATGAGATCAGATCAAATGGAACTGTCATGTTGCACATGAGGTCCCGCAAGGGCTGTGGATGTATCATTTTACAAAAGTCTCTATTTAGCGATCAGTGTAGGACATATTTTTTTTTGAGGCAACAAATTGTTTTTTACTGGGCCATTAGTAGTTTACTGACCTGGGGCATATAATCGAATCCCATTGAAGACCCGTCAAAGTCCATACCCTGTTCGTCTTTGGGCCAACTATCCCTTACGTATATCAAGTCCGTCCGGAGCTCCTTGATGTAGTTCAGCAAGTAGCTCTCTGCGGTCGAAGGCACTCGAGAGTTAGCCCAATCCGGATATACAACTGGGCTAGCGAGATAAAGGCCGTTGTAGATTTGGGTATTGTTATCGGTGAGCAGAAGACGTTCACTTCCGAGATGAGAGCTTAAGCTGGCGTTGCCATGGAAAAGCTGAAACGAATTGATCGATGAAGTATTTTTTTTTTTGGATTTTAAGTAAATTTTTTTTTGTTTTCCTACCATGGGACTTAGATGGGGCTGGAACGATCTGTTGGTGCTGGATAAGATTTCGCGTCCTAGGTTTATCTTCTTGAGCGCATCATCGGTCAGGTTGAGCTCTATGGTTGGGCAGAGTTTCTGATGAAGACAATGGCTGTCCCAGGGTACCTTGATGACTTCCGTTATCAGGATGGTGTTATTTAGGTCTAGGATGATGTCTTCGAGGGGTGTCAGGTCTCCATTGGGACATACGTGTAACCCGTGGCTCATTCCCTTGGGCGTTTGAGACATATGTGAAAAGGATGTCCCGAGCTGGCGAACGGCGTCGAGGGGCGTCGGTCCCGCAAAAATATGGACGCTGATCATTTCCGGTAGAGAAAAGCCGCGGAGTATAATCAGATTGGAGCCGTTATTCATCTGTTTCAAAGAGACGGATTAATTGGGAGAAAAGATGAGAACAAAAATATACGAGATTATCCCAGGGAATGATGAATCTTTTATTATTTATCTTTAATAAGATTTCGAAAAATTTTTCACCGTGACCGCTTTTCTCATTGAAGGAAATTTAAACATTTTTTTAATCAGCGCGTTGGTAACGCGTGTTATGCATTTCGATATAAATATTTTCGCTTGATTTCAGAAAAATGTAAGATTTATTATTTATCAGCATCGAGGAATTTCACGTTTTCACGAATTCGCGAGACTCTCTTCATCTATATATCAAACTGGCAGATTCTGCATTTTTTGGTTGACACGAGTTTAAAATTTGACATAATTTTTTTGTATGTTCTTCATCGTATAACTTTTTAATATTTACAAGCGAATATTTTCATACCTTAATTTCCATTGGTCCCTCGTAATCCACGTAGCATGCCATTCCGTCGCCGTTTTCGGTTATTCCCAAAAAAGCCGGTATTATCGTACCGTTTTCGTTGTTGTAAATAAAATTAGTGGTCCCATTCAATTGTACGTCGTTCAGCCCATAAACCGTACTGTTGGTCATGAATATACTCCATTCCCAATAAGATTCCGTAAGGATAAGTGGACCTCTGGCAGTCGTCCAAATGTACGTACTGTCATTCACACTGGAACTCGCTCTGGCAATGGAAACCGAAAATTCGGGATAATGAACGTACGGAATCAAATTTGATACACTGTCTGAAAAGGAAGAAGACACAAGTCATACGGCTAGCATAATTCGTATCACCGAATACCACGTACCCTGACCTCTCAGAATTTGATGAATTGTCCCTCCC